GAGACGCCAGCTACCAGTCCACCTGCCAGTTCACCTGCGACGAGGGCTTCTCCTTGTCGGGACCGGAAAGGCTGGACTGCACCCCGTCTGGGCGCTGGACCGGCTCCCCGCCCACCTGCGGAGGTAGGATCACCAGCTGTGTCTGCTATGGCTTCTCTCGTGGGCAGAGCCACAGAATGAGATGTATGTAAACTGTCCTAAACCGAAGGAAACGCACTTTCCACAGAGCATGCTGATCTACACCGAAGACAGCTCCCCTCTCCTCTCTCTCTCTCTCTCTCTCTCTCTCTCTCTCTCTCTCTCTCTCTCTCTCTCTCTCTCTCTCTCTCTCTCTCTCTCTCTCTCTCTCTGTAGGACAATCACTTCAGTGGAACATTGAGAGTTTTATTAGGTATCCTCGTGTCAGTGTGGCGTCGGTGTTTGCCGCAGTCCTGGCTCCTCCCGTACAGCCTTCTCTGCTCCTCTCTCCGCTCCTCCCTCCTGCACTCACTCTTCCTGAGCGCAGCTGAGCCCGGGCGAGCTGACGTCAGGGGTGGCGTCGTTTCACCTCGCCCCTCGAGGAGCTCAGGGCCTGGCTACCGTACTCTCCCCCCCAATCCCCTCCCCGGCACTTCTATGTGGATAAACATTCCTCGAAGGCAGGCGCTGCTGCTCCTTCTTCATCTTTGTGCCCCCGGCAGCAACTAGACAGAGTGAGCTTGGGGCCGTGACAAATTCCTATTGAACGAAGCTGATCATTCCCTGATAACATTCATTCACCATACACGCACCAGTCCTACTGAGTGTGAATTAGTAGAACCATCAGAGGCAGGGCTGCATCTTACCAGCCTTTGATTCCCCCAAACATCTGGCACTCAGTATTCTCTAAGACAGACACATACTGACTTAATCCATAAGCCACGGTTACTTCCGAAGGCACCGTGCGCCGATTGGCTGTTCTATGTGCTCAGTGATCATGAGACCAGAGGGGCTGGTTGCCACTGAGAACCAGGTGCCAGCTGCCTCACTGGCATTACCACGGCCAAACCACCAACAATCTTCACAGGACCACGTCCCCATCTTAGAGATGCAGACACTGAGGCCGGAGAGAGAAAGGGCAGGCTAGGGCACATCGCCAGGAGGTGCAATGCCAGCATCTGAAGCCACGCCCGGTCCTCCCACAGGCCTGGTGTTGTCCTCGCTGCATCACACTGCCCCCCAGGGGCAGGGTCACACCTGGGCCGTGGCCTGTGAACTTGCTCTTTGCCCTCCCATTTCCCCCCTCAGGCTGCAGTTGTGGCTGCTGAAGTGAACGGGAGAAACAGCAGTGCCTGGTGGCCACAGGAGAGAATGTGTTGATAGAAACTGATTGCTAGCATTATATGAAAACAGCTAAGATGTTATTTATGCTTTCTGGTGGAATGAGGACTAGATTAATATCCCAAGAGCTGCATCCTCCTTGCTGGCAGTCACCTGCCTTTTTTAAAGGTCCTGCCACACCCTTAGGGGGCGGGTTCTCCATTCAGAGAGGAGGGACAAGGTCATGTCCCGGGCTCTTCCCTGGCCAAGAGTCCTGCAGGTGAAAGAACACAAAATGGCGCCACCTGCTGTTAAACAGACACAGGACAAGCACCTGAGGACGCCAGAGCATTCGTGGGCAACAGCGTTAGGATGTCACTCATTCACTTACTTCTCATTCATTTATTCCATCTACATTTATCTTGAGCTCTGCCTTCCCACATTTTGTTTTCAGACCAAACAATTTAAAAAAAAAACCCTGTGAGAATGATCTCACTAAAGTTTTAAATCATAAATGCAACAGCCATGGTTGTCAACTCTGTAATTTCTGAGGCCAGCCTCTTCCTCAGAAAATGCGGAGGTGCTCAGGGAATGTCTGCTGAATTCATAAATGAACAGGAAGGTTCTGATATTCTCCATTTGCTCCTCCAGCCACCAGGTGTCCAGAACTGGTCGCCCCCGAGCGGGGGAGCCTGGCCTGCTCGGACCCTCGCGGAGAATTCAGCGTCGGCTCCACCTGCCAGTTCTCCTGCCAGGAGGGCTCTGAGCTGCAGGGGCCCAGCAGCGTGCAGTGCGCGGCGTCCGGGAGGTGGACGGCCCCTCCGCCAACCTGCCAAGGTACATAGTGCTCCTGCCCTGGGCCGCCCCTGCCAGCCTCTTCCACACACAGACCCTCACACACACACACCCTCACACACACACCCTCACACACACACCCTCACACACACACACCCTCACACACACACCCTCACACACACACACTCTCACACACACACACACACCCTCACACACATACACCCTCACACACATACCCTCACACACACATACCCTCACACACACACCCTCACACACACACCCTCACACACACACCCTCACACACACCCCCTCACACACACACACCCTCATACACACACCCCCTCACACACACCCCACACACACACCCCCTCACACACACACACACCCTCACACACACACACCCTCACACACACACACACCCTCACACACACACACCCTCACACACACACCCTCACACACACACCCTCACACACACACACCCTCACACACACACACTCACACACACACACTCTCACACACACACACACACCCTCACACACACACCCTCACACACACATATACCCTCTTCCACACCTTCCAGCATGGTTTCAGTGGGGCTCACTGAGCATTTGCCAAGCGGACAAATACATGAGACTCTGATTGGCTAACCATGTGCCTCAGGATTGCGTTTACACATGACTGTAGTGGCACATTTCTCTGAGTCCTGTGTCTTTCTCCCCATTACATCCTCACACATACGATTATCACTGAGCAGCACATATTGGGTTACTGGCAAGCTGGGTGACTCTTCTTCCTTCAAACCCCAGGCTGTTCTGGAAGAGATGCCTTCACCAGTGAAGGCTCACTCTGATTAGCATCTTTGTTAGAAAACCAGCACCAATCCCTTGAAATGCTTCGCCCGGCAAAGACTCCCGGCTGCCTGGGTGGGCAGTGGCTGCCAAGAGGCTGTGCTTGGCTGGACCCCGAGGACCGGCGGGTTTTCCAGGGGAAGCAGGAGGGAATTCAGATGGTGTGATGAGAGTTGGGGGCAGGACGCTCGAGGCCGGTTCAGGGAACCCCCAGGGTTGGTGGGGCGTGGCCGGGAGGCTCTGAGCTGTGGGGCCGGAGCTGTGGAATAAAGCTCCCTGCAGGGGGAGGTGCACTGAGTGCAGAAAGGAGGCCGGGTGTCCGGGAGGAAGCAGTCTTGGCAGGAGGTAGGCCGGGGCTGAGGCCCAGGACCACACCCATGGGCAGAGGGCAGTGGGAAACCGGGGGCCCTGGGGACTGGAGGAGAAGGGGTACAGAGAAGAGGAGGAGACTGTGCCTTCTGGAGTGGGACTGCTTCATTTTTGGGACTTCTGCCCGCCCTCTATGTGAGCCACCCCACTTCCTCCTGCCCCTGGGGCAGATGACCGTGATGTTTGCTGTGGGGTGCCTGCTGCCCAGCCAGACACGGACAGCGGAGGTGCTCAGGGAATGTCTGCTGAATGCACGCATGAAGGAATTGGTGCAAAGCAACGCTTGCGAATGAACAGGAAGGTTTTGATGTTGTCCATTTGCTTTTCCAGCCACCAGGTGTCCAGAACTGGTCGCCCCCGAGCGGGGGAGCCTGGCCTGCTCGGACCCTCGCGGAGAATTCAGCGTCGGCTCCACCTGCCAGTTCTCCTGCCAGGAGGGCTCTGAGCTGCAGGGGCCCGGCAGCGTGCAGTGCACGGCGTCCGGGAGGTGGACGGCCCCTCCGCCAACCTGCCAAGGTACATAGTGCTCCTGCCCTGGGCTGCCTCTGCCAGCCTCTTCCACATGCTGACAAGTGTCTGGCTCTGACCAGGCAACAGCCATTTATTATTATTATTATTATTATTATTATTATTATTATTATTATTAGAGGCCCGGTGCATGAAATTCGTGCACAGGGTGGAGGGGTCTCCTTCAGCCCAGACTGCACCCTCTCCAATCTGGGACCCCCTCAAGGGATGTTCAATGGCCAGTTGAACGGCCCGGGATCGGGTCTAAACGGGCAGTCGGACATCCCTCTCACAATCCAGGACTGCTGGCTCCCAACTGCTTGCCTGCCTGCCTTCCTGATTGCCTCTAACTGCTTCTGCCTGCCAGCCTGATTCACCCCCTAACCACTCCCATCCAGCCTGATTGATGTCTAACTGCTCCCCTGCCAGCCTGTTTGCCCCCAACTTCCCTCTGCTGGCCTGGTCACCCCTAACTGCCCTCCCCTACAAGGTTGACTGCCTCCAACTGCCTTCCCTTGCAGGCCTGGTCCCTCTCAACTGCCCTCCCTTGTAGGCCTGGTGCCTCCCAACTGCCCTCCCCTGCTGGCCATCTTGTGGTGGCCATCTTGTGTCCACATGGGGGCAGGATCTTTGACTACATGGGGGCAGCTATCTTGATCTTGTATGTTGGAGTGATGGTCAATCTGCATATTCTTTTATTAGATAGGATAGGGGCCTGGTGCATGGGTGGGAGCCAGCTGGTTTGCCCTGAGAGTGTCCTAATCAGGGTGGGGGCTCCTTTGGGACTGGGGGAAGCCTGGGTGAGAGCCCTGTGGTGGTTTGCAGGCCAGCCACGCCCCCCAGCAACCCTAGCAGGAGCCCTGGTATCTGGAATTTATTTACCTTCTACAGTTGAAACTTCGTAGTCTGAAGCAGAGCCAAGCCCCCTGCTCATTCCCGCTGCTGCCATTTCTGTTTGGTTTTATGTATCTTCTATAATTGAACTTTGTATCCTGGAGTGGAGGCCTGGGCTGGCCATGGCAGGTGGAAAGCTTTGCTTCCTCCTTTGCCAGGGGCAACCCTAGCCTGCTCTCTCCAGCTCCTTGGCTGCTGCCATTTTGGGGATTTACTTTCTATAATTGAAAATTTGTATCCTTGAGTGGAGGCCTAAGCTGGCCAGGGTGTGTGGAAAGCTTGGCTTCTTCCATTGCTGGGTAAACCCAAACCTTTCAACTGCTCTCTGAGGCTGCAGCCATCTTGGTTGGGATTAATTTGCATGCTTGCTCTGATTGGCTGGTGGGCGTGGCTTTAGCAGAGTGATGGTAACTTTGCATATTACTCTTTTATTATGTAGATGATTATTATTATTATTATTATTATTATTATTATTATTAAAGCCCTACTTCTTGGTATGAAATAGGGCCCAGGGAACACAGACTGGATATCTAAATACATCAGAATTGATAGGACTTTTTATATATTTTGATACAAGATATACTAAGCAGAAATTGTCCTCCATGATTCTGGCCTCTCACTCTAGGAGCTTCACTGGGTGGGTGGGTGGGTGTCCTGCTTTGCCAGGAGAGGGTGGGGGTGGAGGGACTGAGCGCAGAGCCGGTTTTCTGCCACGTGCTCAGTTAATGATGGAGCCAGTGGAGTCCTCCCCGCCATACACTCCATGCCTGTCTCAGGCCGAGGCCATCCACCTCCTGACAAAGCCCACGCACATTAAGCTTCCTCTGCATTCCCTAGATCTCCACACCAGCTCTCCCGCGCTAAATTCTTTTTATTGTTATTGGCAATATTACGGACCTCCCCCATTTCCCCTCACCCCTCCTCCCAAGGCTTGTTCAGTGAACATCAGTGACAGTAACCGCTCAGTTTCTTCTAGAAGGATTCCCTCCCCGAGGGCACTTGCACATTCTCTCCTCCTCCTGGTTTCCATGCCTCTGGCACCGGCTTCCCTGCACTGCCGGGGCGCTATTGCTAGAGCCGCCGCTGTAGAAAGGAAGAAAGGAGGGAGGGTTATCCCAGACAGTCCGCCTCCGATGCTAAGTGCACGTGTCCTCCCAGGTGCAGCGCCGGCGCCCCCCCCAGCGGCACGCTGCCCCGCCCTCATGGCTCCAGGGCAGGGAGCCATGTCCTGCTCACACCCCCTGGCGGCCTTCGGGTTGAACAGCACCTGTCACTTTGAATGCCACGCGGGGTTCGAGCTCCGGGGAGAGGCCACTCTGCGGTGCTCACCATCCGGACGGTGGACGGCGAAGACCCCGGCTTGCAGAGGTGAGTGAGGGCGGCAGCGCGGACACCGGACACGGATGCTCCTGGCCCCCGAGCCAGTCAGGGCACCGCCTGCCGCCACCCCGCCCAGCCCCAGCTAAAACCCTGGCGCTGAGACCCAATGATAAACATTGTAAACGTTCTAAGTGTGTGAGGGCAGCAAGCCTGCTGGGCGCCACCCCAGCCCCGTGAAGGCCGCCATACCAGCTTCAGCTCTAGTGCCGAGGGGACGGTGGACATTCCACATCCTCGTGGTTTGCACCCAAATAAGGGGACAGGCAGGCGGAACCCCCGCAGAACAGCCGCCCGTGCGTGGAACATGGTCTCTCCCACTCGGTCTTCCCCACCGAGCCCAGCCCTGCCCAGCCCCGCGCTTTGTGGTGTTGCTCCTTCTTGGCGTGTATCTGAATTAAATTTAACTTCTTGAGCTCTAGCTTCCTGTCCCCAAAGTAAGGTGGAGGACTTGAAGCTTCTGGAAAACCAGTCTGACGAGGGTTTTAACTAGTTTAACGCCTTGCAAACCTGAGTCCGGCCGTGTTGAGTCCTTGGGAAATATGTCCATCCTGTGTAACATCTAACAGCACCTACTGGCACGCCGGCTAATTGTCCACTGAAGTGGTGATAATCTTTAGGACAGCGGCATCTTTGAGAAGCAAGCTCTTGTAAATGGCGTTTTTGTAGGCCAGGCTGCCCAGTCCCTCAGCGGCTATTTCTCGGAGGCCACACTGTGCCCACCTAGTTCGTTGGCTGGCTCCCTCCAATGGGTGTCCCGGTCTGTGAGCTGTTGGAAGAGATGATGTGGATGTCGGGAATGGCTTGTGTCCTCCCTGACCTTTCTTACTTAAAATATATATATATTTTATTGATTTTTTTTTTTCCAGAGAGGAAGGGAGAGGGATATAGAGCTAGAGCTAGAAACATCGATGAGAGAGAAACATTAATCAGCTGCCTTCTGCACACCCCCTACTGGGGATGTGCCCGCAACCAGGGTACATGGCCTTGACCGGAATCGAACATGGGACCCTTCAGTCCGCAGGCTGACGCTCTATCCACTGAGCCACACCGGTCAGGGCATCTTCCCTGTCCTTTCCTGTTCTCTCACTGTCTGGCCCTGTCAGCCAGGTGCCATGAAGCCACAGTCTCGCTTCCCCTTCTGCGCCCTGACTGTTGTCCCCGTTCCTCCCTGCAGCCGTGCAGTGCTCCGAGCTGCCCCCGGACCCGCCGCTGCTGACGAACTGCTCCGGCCCCTGGGGCCACTTCAGCTATGGTGCCACCTGCACCTTCGGCTGTCCGGAGGGCCAGGCGCTCAACGGCTCGGAGACAGCGGCCTGCGGACCCGACGGCCAGTGGTCAGCGGCCATGCCCAGCTGCGAAGGTACGTCTGCCTGTGGTTTCAGGAGCCACGCACGCGGGTGTGGAAAATAACCAAATCCGTGCTCTCCTCTGCAGTTCTGGTGGAGGTCTCGCTTTCCGCCACGGGGTTTTTCCCTGCATGTGATACACGTTTCACAATGAACCAGGCCTTCACAGAGCACAGCGGGGGCAGAAGCAACAGCCCTCCTTCCGCTGAGCTCAGATTCACGAAATGAATCCTCTGGCTGCTTTGCAATCTTCAGAATGTTTTCAATGGGAGGTGATTACATGCAGATTCCGCATGTGTCTCAGAGGACCTTTGTTTATCTAAAAACTCAGGACACCACAGGCTCCTTCATGAAGCCCCGTCTGTGTTTTTAAGGGTTATTCCATCCACCATCTTTCTTCCTCTTCCTTGTTTTTCCTCCACAGCTTGTCATGACTTTCTTCTCCTGTAACCATATTTTTTATTGCAACAAAAATCCCCCAGGGTTTATTTTATTTGCTCAAACTTCCATTCCTTGGGTCTCCCATGTGGCCACTTAACCTCCTGTTAGGCCATCCTTGCCCTGACTCCTTTGGATACTAAAGCCTTGGGGGTACAGTGTGGTTTTATGACGCCCAGGTTACCAGCGCTGCCAGGGCCCCTGGTGATCCCCCAGATCGCACCTCGCTGTCCCAGGGCCCCTCGGGGAGGGTGGTCTCCGTCCGGCGGGATGTGCCCTAAGTCTGTGTGTGTGCTTGCTTGCAGCGGGGCCACTGACGGTGCCGGAAGCGCTGACGTACCTGGGCGGAGCCGTGGCCTCCACCACGGGCTTGGTGATGGGTGGCACGCTCCTGGCTCTGCTCCGGAGGCGCTGCAGGCGGAAAGGTAACTGGGAAGGAGGCAGACTTTTGCTTCCACTCTCCTGAGGTGTGGGGAGGAGGGAGGGGGAGGAGGATTGCTGCAGCCGCAGCAGAGCCTGTGTGAGGACACCTTCATGAGAAGAAACTGTGACCTTGAGGACGGACCACCCTCGGTTCTCTTCATAAAAATGAAGGACGTCCCAAAAGCACAGGTCCTCCCAGAAGGAGAGCTGGACTCGGGCTTGGAAATCTGAACTTTGCAACACCCACCCTCTTTGGCACTGGGGGACCCCAGGTCCAGGGAACCTCAGTTATCACCAAAACGAAATGAAATGGTGTCTCACTTCTCTCCTTCATCCCCTCCACCATTCCTTCATGTCTCCTCCATCATTGACTGACCAACTGTGTCAGGGGGTGAGACCCTGGCTTCTGGTCCCTGGGATGGAGGGAGGTGTGACCCAGCAGTGGGAATAGGCAGGTGAGATCCATGTTAATGCTGAAGGGCAGGACTGGGTTAGGACACAGTTACAACCGAGTGCTGCAGAGACACAAAACAGAGGGGTCCCAACCAACCGGGTAGCTCAGAACGGCTCTTTGCAGCTTACCTTTGATGAATAGGAAGGATTTGCCCGGGAAAAGCAGAAGCAGTTCCAGGAGGAAAGATCTGGAAGGACCTAGAGGTGAGGCAGGTGAGGAAGTGCTACGCTCGCAGTGCAGGGCATCTGACCCCAAGAGGCTCATGGAGGAAGCGAGAAAGGAAGCTGGAGGCATGCAGAGCCGCCCTGCCCATGCTTTGGTCTGAAACGATGTGTGTTTGCATGGACATGTGTGGAGCTAATGCTGGTTGAAGCCCGGAAGGGACCAGAATGGGTGGAGACCCTGTAAGGGAAAACGTGTTTGTCAGGCTGCCCATCAAAAAGACCTCTGGCCTGGGGGGGCCATTTCTTCAGGGTCAGAGTGCCCTTCCTCTGTCTGGCCCAAATGCTTAGCCTGGCCCTAAGTTCAGAAACCTCTTTGGACAAGCTTATGGGGTTCCTCCTGGAAAGTGATCCGGGCATCAGAGGGGTCGGGTCAGTGCAGAGCCAGGGAAGGAAGTGTCTCTGTCAAAAGCACCTGTCGGAGTCCCCTGGAGTTAGGGAGTCCCCCCAGAGTTAGGGAGTCCCCCCGGAGTTGGGGAGTCCCCCTGGAGTTAGGGGGTCCCCCTGGAGTTAGGGAGTCCCGCTGGAGTTAGGGGGTCCCCCTGGAGTTAGGGAGTCCCCCTGGAGTTAGGGGGTCCCCCTGGAGTTAGGGAGTCCCTCTGGAGTTAGGGGGTCCCCCTGGAGTTAGGGAGTCCCTCTGGAGTTAGAGGGTCCCCCTGGAGTTAGGGAGTCCTGGCTCTTTTTCTTCCCTGCTCAGGGCAGGACCACTTGGTCCCTGCTCTGTGCCCCTCCGTCACAAGGCCACCACGGCCCTGAGGCTGGCTGTGTAGTGCTCTCCTCTGGGTGGCGAGCGAGACAACAGACAAGGAGTAACACTGTTTAAAAACCAAAGGTCCCCCCTCCCCACTCCAGCCTCTCCATGCAGCATCGGCGCTTGCTTAACCAAACTCAGAAGGCAGACGCAAGACCTCCTGAGACCGCCCCAGGCTATGTCCGAACCACACTCCTCCTGCATTTCCCCCAAGTTCTTTCCTGGTTTAGAGACATTCCGCGGAGCCCTCTGGACCAGCGAGAGGGCCAGCAGCACCCTCCTCCAGGGTCTTTAATAAGAAATACATGCCTTTGTGAGGATGGGGCTTTCCCTTGTCAAACGTCCTGGGATTCTGTGGTCCATTTCGCCTGCTCTGTCCCTCCCCTGCAGGTCCGTTATCACATTGGAGGCTCAGTGATGCCAGAAACAAATACACTGGTTCTTCACTGACCTGATACTTGGAAACGTTGTTAGCCACGAGATGCTCCCATTGATAGGACGGCCGCCATGCTTTGCATTCCCACTGTCATGGCTCAGGGTTTAGATCAGGACAGAAGGCCCTTGATCGCTCCCGTTGCCACGGAGGAAGACGGCTGCTGTTACGCTGGGATGGGCTCCTTTATGTAATTAACTCGCCCAAGGGAAGGCTGAGGGATTGTGACACAGGATGAGTGACAGGGGCCTCGAGTGCCAAAGAAATGGGTTTTGAGAACCAGTGGTCTCAACCACAACCAAAACCAGCCAAGAGATGGGCACTAGACAGGAGGGGAGGCTGCTACTGCAAGGTCAGAGGGGAAAGGTGAAAGGTGAGAGGTGAGAGGTGAGAGGTGAGAGATGAGAGGTGAGAGGTGAGAGGACTCTGGAGTTATATGACAGGGGTGGGCCCTGCCTCTCAGGGAAGCTTGTCCCTTTAATGAGTCACCTGAAAATCAGTCTACCTATGACTCCCCCAATAGCTCCCACCTGGATGGCCTCTCCCCCATATCTGGTTCCTCTTTTAACCAATCACCGTGTCTTCTTGCTTTTTTCAGATGATGGGAAAGACCTTTTGAATCCTCATAGGTAAGGCGGAACTGTTTTAAGATTGAGCTAATTTTTCTAGTCTGACTTTTTAATTCGCCATAACATGTCAGGATGGTTACACATAACACCCCTTTCTTGCAACACAATGAAATGCACAGATAATATACCCTAACTACCCATTTTTTTAAAACTAGTAAGTACCCTAATGATAGAATCAATGAAAATAGGAGGGAAAGTGATGTATTGTAGAAATAAAAGGCTAACGCTGGGGCACTACACTGGCGGGTCCCATGAGCTCATCAGAGGCCCCTTCCGGTAGAACCACTAGGAAGTTACCCGCCGGAGAGGACAGCTGACAGGAAAGTTGTCACAGTGGCTCAGAGAGCCCCAGAGGCATTGCCAACCCGAGTGATAAGGGTGAACGATTGGTAGAACGTTTGGAAAACCTGACAAAATCTTCCTTCAATTCACAAGGCAGTTGCATTTTAGAAGATGCAAAAAAGCAACACACACAAAACACCGTATTTATATGTAAAGCAGTGAGGTCTGGGCTTGGAGATTTTTTCACCTGCATGAATTCTGCATCCCTACTCCAAAATCAGACGGAGCGTAGGACAGTTAGTTGTCTTGTGTCTGTGCATACTAGGATATCAGCAGTCCGGTCCCTGCCACCAATGTCCATAGAACTCTTGATCATTGTGAAAATTAAAAAGTGCCTGTAGGGGGCAGTGCTGCCTCGAACACTCCTGAAGGGATCTGATGGTCAGGGGCTTTGTAAGGACTTCCTCTCACCAAGAACAGCTGCAGCCCTGTAGGGGGCGCAGCAGGCATTCAGCACCCACGGCATTAGCAACAGCTGCACCGGGGTGTGAAAGGCGCTGGTTAGGGGCACCCAGAAAACCCTGCTGGCGTTTCTTCTTCCCCTTTTAAAGCAGAATCCCAGGGGTGGGCGGTGACCCTCCTGGAGAAACTATGTTCTGGACTGTGGTCCCGGGCTAAGCACCACATGGCAGGTCATCTTTGTGTTTCTGTTCTTTAGCCACCTGGGGACATATGGAGTTTTTACAAATGCTGCATTTGACCCGAACCCTTGAGGTAAGTTACTAATGATGGCATATTTTATTTGTTTGTTTGTTTATTTATTTGTAAATTATATTTTTATTGGTTTCAGAGAAAGAATGGGGGAGGGAGAAACAATGATGAGAGAGAATCATTGATTAGTTGCCTCCTGCAAGCCCCCTATTGGGGATCAAACCCCTAAACCGGGCATGTGCTCTGACTAGGAATCTAACCATGACCTCCTGGTTCATAGGTCGAGGCTCAACCACTGGGCAACACTGGCCAGGCATAAAGGAAATAGAACAGTAAGGTGAAGGGGAAGATTTTAAAGTTTGACTTTTTACCATTGTGAGTTAAATGTTAAGTATGTAGTGTATTTTCAAGCCATGAAGGAAACTGTGTTGGCACAGGGGACAGGCATGACAGTAGAATGACATAGAGTGTTCACATAAGGATTTTCACACACACACACACACACACACACACACTCACCCGGGTGACACGGTCTAGTGACACTTATTTCGGGATGGATGGCATTCCCTTCAGCGGCTCGTAGGTGACGTTAACGTTGTGGCTTGAGAACCAGTCGCCTGGACCCCTGGGAACATTTTACAAGCTTTTATGGAGCCAATGCCCTCGTGGCCCGCTGGGAAAACGAAAATAGCCCGACACGTCTCTGCCAAACAGCTCAGGGAGGATGGAGTCTAAGAAAAGTAGCCTGGACGGCAGAAAAGCTGGCTCAGAAAGATTATATTGGGCCTTGGGGAACAGATGTAAAGAGAGCTTTCTTTATTTTTATTTTTATTTTTTTTAAGGAAATGTCATTAATGTCTGTTGGGTCCTTTCCAGAGGCCTGTCCTCTCTGGGTCACCTCACTCGCCTCAGAGGATGCTATTGTGGGTCATCGGGTTTCCTGAGAAACTTGACGGACGGGAGCACACCGCTGCCGTTTCTGTGAATGCTTGTGAAGGAAGGACCAGGCCGGAGCGGGAGAGACGGAGTCTCCATGCGCCGCCCTCCCTGCCCCCTCTCCCGGCCGCGTGCTGCTGCCAGGGTCCGGGCTCTGCCGGCGTCACCAGAAATACTAATCAGCTGCAGCCGCTGAGCCACCGGCGCACCAGACTGCGGAGAAGGCAGGACGGCTCCTCCGCTCTGGACTGGAGGAGGGCCTCCTGCGCTTCCGGAGGGAGGCGGCGTCTCCTGGAGGGTTTCTGTATGGCTCCGAGCCCGCAGAGCGGCATCTACGACCCCCTTAGACCCCGCTGCAGAGGCGTCCAGAGGCTGCAAACCACTGAGAGCCAGGACAGGGAGACACCTGTCCCTGTGATGGTCCCTCCAAGGTCACTCTCCCCCAAAGATCCATATTCAGAGGCCTTATTAAAAGGATCCCCCAAACGCCATGTTATAGTATCTGATGCTTTGTTCAACAGGGTCTGTGTCTATTACTTTGTTTACATTAATATAACGAACAACTTTACTGCCGGACCCTCCCGTCAGCCGGCAATTATATATCACACACCTTCCCACAGGGGGAAAACCAGAGAAGCACAAAAAGTCTTCATCACTGGCATTCCTGGGCACTGTCCTAGGGTAGAATGGAGGTGTTTTACACATCCTTTCCTTCTTTATTGTCCTGGCCAGTTTGGTTCTGTGAAGAGTGTCGGCCTGTGGACTGAAGGGTTTGATTCCTGTCAAGGGCACATGCCTGGGTTGTGAGCTTGATCCCCAGGAGGGGACGTGCAGGAAGCAGCTGATCAATGATTCTCTCTCATCATGGATGTTTCTATCTCTCTTTCCCTCTGCCTCCCTTTCTCTGAAATCAATATCTTTATAAATCCCAGGTTTGATAAATAGGCTGTTGAAAGTTGCACAGTGTTATCTGGAGCAAATCAGACACAGCCGTCTTGCCTCTGTGACTGTAAGGCAATAAGCACGCCATGCAGACTGAACGACACAGACAAACATGCCAATGAAAATGGCGAAACAGTCTAACCGAAGGTCACAAAACTTTTGCAAGAATTTTGATAGGAACCTTGGGAATGAGGGACACCATGCTTTTAAAGGTTCCCAGATATGCTGTCAATAGTACCTCTGCCTGCCAATCATGAGGTGAGGCCTCCTGGAACCATCACCAGCCCTGTCTCCGGAGGCAGCGTCCACACTCAGTGAAAGCTCCCCAGGGAATCTGGATGGGTTCCCAGCTGATATTATAGGGGCGTCCTGCTCATGGAGGGCTTCTGACCTAGTTGGCAAGACAGCTAAGTACTAGCGGGTAACCAACCCAAAGTACCCGAGGGAAACCAGCAGACGTGTGTGTGAAGAGCGTTGGAGGAGCTCACAAAATGGAAAAGCCCGTTCAGGCCCAGCATCAAGGCGACAGTGGAACTCTGAGTGGGCTTTGGGGAGGGGGGTGGAGGGAACTCGCCGTCCACGTTATAGAATAATATCAGCCACGGGCAAGGGCAGAGGGCTGTGTGCAGGGGATGAAGCGTTGAAGAGCTTGGCTTCATCGTGACCTCACACCAGGTGCCCATGACGTTTATCGGCAAATCCTAAGGCAGGGGCTCAGGAGACACGGAGGTTCAGGGAGCCTGGGGCAAGCCATCAGGATGCTTCCGACACTATAATTCTATCATTCTCTCTAGCAATAGCAAACAAGACCTCCAGGCAGAGTGAAAACAGACAGGTGGCAGAACCATAAGGGACTCTGGAGGCAGGAAAAATACAGCCCTGATAATGCGCGCTGCTCAGTGCTCTCCCACTGCCAGGAGTGACACGCGTTACAGTATTCCCTTACCCTCCCAACAACACTATCAGGGAAAGCTGTTACCGTCTCCCCTACCGGGCAGATGGCAAATCTGAGCAGCTGAGAGGATGAGGAACGCGTCCAAGACAACACAGCTTGTGAGTGGGACTGAAACCTGGTCCACTGGTTCCCTCCCTCCCTCTCTCTCTCTCTCTCTCTCTCTCTCTCTCTCTCTTTCGCGCGCTCTCCCTCTCTCTCTCTCTCTCTCTCTCTCTCTCTCTCTCTCTCTCTCTCTCTCTCTCTCTCTCTCACACACACACACACACACACACACACACACTGGTGAAGCCCTCCTCTCTGTTGCTGCCTTTAGTGGCCACAGCCCCCATCAAAACAGAACTGAGCGCAGGCAGAAGTCCAGGAAGTGGTCCAGGCTGACAGCCGGGTCTCATGCTCATCTCCTTGCTTCCTCGCCCGCTGAAGACACATCCCTGTACCCAGGCACAGTGCACACGCCCTGCCCTTTCCTCCCCTTTCCTTGGAGCCAGAGAGGGCTGTGCTTAAAGGTGGTGGGTCCCCTGGCACTGGGAACTGCAGAGGGTCTGAGGAGAGTGAACATTGCCCCAGGCAGCGTTGTGGGGGTGCTGAGGGCTCCTGCTCCCAGGCTTAGCAGCTGGAAGTGCAGGGAGCCCTTTGCCTGCGGTGTATGCACCCCTGGGCACTGCCCCACCGGCTGGAGCCTCTGAGCTCTGCGTTCGCGTCACCTGTAGTGAAACAGTCACTGATCTGGGTGCCTCCTCTTGTCTCCGGGGGCAGTGACCTCGCCAACCCCACTTCCTGGAAGGGCCCAGGAGGCGGGACAGCCTGTGGCTGTGGCTGAGGCACTGGAGAAGCTGCAGGAGGACACTGCCACCCACAGCCTCCCGAGCTCACTGCAGCGGGGACAGCGGACGCCCAGCCCCAGCAGTGCAGCCCCAGCGGCTGATTGAGCCCTGCCCGGGTCCTGGGGCGCCGAGGACAGGAGCAGGGAAGAGCCATGTCCCCAGGCAGCCTCTGCCTCTGGGTCCTGCTGGTCCTGGGCTCCAGCTGGGCAGGCTGGGGGGCCCCGGGGGCCGAGGCTGCGCGGCTGAGGCAGTTCTATGTGGCTGCGCAGGGCATCAGCTGGAACTACCGCCCGGAGCCCACGAACCCCAGGTAAGGCCGGGGTGGTGTCTGAGGACTTCCGTGGGAGCTGACTCTGCTGTCCGAGGCAGCCTTCCCTTTGCTGATCCTGCCTGGAGGGTGAGGATATAGAAAAGACGCTGTGTGATTGGCTAGATGCTGCTTTCCAGTTAGTATGATTGATTGTTTGTTTAATGTATTGATTGGTTCAAAGGCACCAGCACCTACCCCCTCGCTAGCATTTACAAACTCCTGTTCTAGAATTTTAGCGGCCTGGAATTGCTATGGAACTTCTAGTTGCATAGCATTTATTCCATTCTCCTCATTGCTTCATCTTCTAAAACTAAACCTTGTACTTCATTGTAGGCAGAATAACAACTGCCATCATTTTGTTGTTTTCTCATAAATGACTCTCAAAACATCATTAGTCCCTAAAAAGGCACAATTTTTATTCTTTCTTCCTCACTTTGGCAATTTGGGTGGGGTCCCTGTGAGAAGGCAGAGATGCAGCTAAGAGGAGGTTTAAATAACAAAATATCTTGGGAGTCGGAAACTACTTTTCCCAATCGAAATGCTAAAAACAAAACTTCCCAGAAATGAGGCAAATTGCAGGATCTACTCAATATTTCCAGTTGGCTATATTTTTACTGGTTTCAATGGTAAACCTCTTGGTGTGACTCAATTTTGTTAAATTCACATCACACTTGGGTTGCGAAAGCCATGTTCCCCTTTTACAAGTACAAAGCGATCTACCCAGAGATGTTGTGCTATTTTCAGTCTTTTTGTGCAGAACCTTAACCCTTTTTATATTTCCTCAGTAAAGTTTATTTTGGAGGGTAGTACAGAGTCTGTTGGTCTTGTACAAAGAAATCCCTCTTTTTTTAAAAAAATATAAATCACCTTAGACATCTCATTTCAAGGTGATAACCAAGGTCCCACGCACACTGTACGGAACTGCCATGGATTAACCCTGCCAGGGGAATAAGTCTTTCCAACACGAGTCTTTCCTGCGCGTGGGAGCACTGACTTGCTGCTGGCTTTCCTGTGGCCGCTGTGCCATGCTGGGAAGTGCGGTCTTTCTTCCACAGCTAATGCTGGACGCTGGGGGCAGGACCACAGGGTCCAAAGTCGGACTCACGCGGTGAGTCCACAGGGAGCCACTGCTGTCGTCCCACCCTCTTGCTCTGCGGCTGAGTTCCGGGATTCTGGGAAGGGTCACTCTTCTGGTATCAATGACTGAATCCAAACCACAGAAGGATAACCCAGACCGCGGCTCCATATCGAACCTCAAATCATGTCATTTCCCTCTAGTACTTTCCCGCGGAAAATCTGTACATCTGGCTGCTTAAATAAGAACTTGTTCTAAATTGTCCTGCACTGGGAGCTAACAGATACTGTTATCAATTCCACCCTTTGCCAAAGTCTATTTTAGCACAAAGCACAGGCTTTCCCTGGAGTTCATCTAAAATTAGCAGAGCAATGCCTTTAAAGGGGAATGTGTCTATTATTGTTGCTCAAGGCCTGAAAATGAATGTTTCTAAACATTCCCTTAGGAAAACTTGTTCAATCATTACATGCACGTAGTAACAGATATTTTAAAAATGCATATATAGCCCTAGCTGGTTTGGCTCAGTGGATAGAGCGTCGGCCTGTGGACTGAAGGGTCCCAGGCTTGATTCTGGTCAAGGGCACACGCCCAGATTGTGGGCTTGATCCTCGGTGTGGGGTGTGCAGGAGGCAGCACTGATTAATGATTCTCTCTCATCATTGATGTTTCTATCGTTCTCTTCCTCTCCCTTCCTCTCTGAAATCAACAAAAATAAAAATAAAAATGCATATATATTCATCATGCATATTTCTGTTCCAACAGATTGTTTTCCAGGAGTCATTCAACTTTTTCAAAATCAAAATAAATATACCTTGGTATGCTCACCCAATATATACAGTCAAATGTGTTAGAAAACACATGTCTATTCGACTTATTCCACATAAAAGACTGATTGTTCCTAGTAGAGCTTTTATGCCATCATCTATATTCTTGTATTTAGAGATCTGGGTTGGGGCAGGAGGGTTAATTTTCAGTTTTACTAACAACCAACCAAATAAATAAAAATGGAATCCCACATTAGGGATAAAACCAACATATAGAATCCTTGGGCTCTGAGGACTCTATAGGTCGTTCAGTTCATTTTCAACCTCTCTGCCCTCACCGTCTGCTCCCCCGACACACTGAGCACCCAGATTCTTGCATCCAGTTCCTATTCCACTGAGAACCCACTGCTTCCATGGCTGCTCATTCCAAAAGCACTTACTCGTTCTGCCCCCAAACATTAACACAGTTCTTATATCTCCCCCCAAAATTACAAGGATTACTACAATTACAGATTTTTCTGTTTGCTGGGAAAACCTGAGGGCTAAACACCAACTTTTATTACCTTTTAAATTATTCTAGCTAACGCTAAGTCCTCTGTTGGTAACAACTTATTTAATACTCATCACAATTCTGAGAGGAAGATTTTACTATTATTCCATCTCACATTTGTGGTAGCTGAGGAGCCAATTGAGTTAATAAGTTATTCAAGATCACACAGTGAATAACACCACTTGGTTTAAATACAGACACTCTGACTCGCCTGTCCACCCAGCACTGTAGTATGCAGAGGCCACAGCAGCTGGGGAGGATCTTCCACGTATGTATGCCCTGACCATGGCTGGGCCACTGTCCGTAGTGGCTCAGTGGATAGAGCATCAACAAAGCCAATCTGGTCAGCTGGCTTAGACATTTTAAAAAATGTCCCCCAATTCTTTTCTCTTTACCTTAATCTTTGTGTTTTTATTTTATTTTGTTTGTTTTTTTTAACCTTTGGAGCTAGTACTTTATTCCATAATCTTTATTATAAAACCCAATGACATAAAATAACACTATACACTTTCACTAAAGGCCAAAATGCTAAAATGACAATTTGCCAGCAACCAGTAAACAAACACAGGGTTACCAGAGAAGTTGCCAATGATCTTTCCTTTACAAGGAACATTTCCTGACAAGAATATTTTTTTAAAAAGAGAATTGAATTGCCTGACAAATATTCTATTCCCCAAACAGTTTACTATCCATCACCTTGAAGGACCTTGAAACAAAACATCCCATTAATCAATTTTATGAACTATCGATAGAAGCCTTCCATTATGAACAGCAAACACAGTCTTGCTATCCTAGCGTTACTAGAGTAAAAAGGCGACAGTAATCTTTTTAAAAATATATATTTTATTGATTATTTTTTGCCCCCCTCCCTCCCATATATACCCTCCATCCCCAGAGTTTTATGTCCATTGGTTGTACTTATATGCATGTATACAAGTCCTTCAGTTGATCTATTATCTCCCCCAGATTTTAATCTTTGAATTTGAGACGAGAATAGAACCATGTGTCCATGTTTAGGGACACATCAGAAGCAGCCTGGAAAGTATCCCAGGAGTCTCCTCCCTCCCTCTGAGAAGTCTTTACGAGGAACACAGTGGTTCCACCATTCCTGAATCTTGGCTCTACCACTTGCCTGTGGACAAGTTGCTTACCCTTCCTGAGAGTTAGTCTCCTCGTTTGTTTGCTCCCAGAGTGAATCCAGGGCTTTTACTGGATGACCAGAGCCAACTTCCCAACCCGAAGTAGAACCCACCAAATCAGTTCTTCACAGCGTTGCTCACTGTATTTGATTCGCAAGCTGAAAATAGTCCACATATTTATTCATGAAAGATTTGATCATTTCTTAATCATCTAAACTCTAACCCTAAAGATTGGGTTCACATGACCATCTTGGGTTCTTTAGAAAATTGGTTCTGAGTAACAGGATTAGTTAGGCCAGGCTTCATTTGTGACAGAATGATGATCACTGTAGAATATTCTTGAAGAGACCAGCAATTATTGTTATCAGCGTCATTGATTGTTCATATTCATAAAACCATAGGTTTCTGAAAAATAATTAAAAATACTATTGTTCCTAGGACATGAAAGATTTCTTTTTTTCCTTTTTTGTTTTTCTTTTGGAACATGAGTAGATGTCAGACATACATTTTAAATAATTTTTTTTTGTATTTTATTTCCAGTTTGGATCCTTCTGCAAAAGCTTTTAAGAAAATTGTGTACAGAGAGTATGAAGCATGTTTTCAGAAAGAAAAACCACGATCTAAAACTTCAGGTAAGCATGAAACACATACTAGTATTCTCTAATTTAAAGGCAAATCTCTTGGATATTCTCTATTCCTAACATTTCCATTTACTGATATTTCATAGAAATGTGTGTTCTTGTTTTTAACCAGTTTTGGCTACATAATTTGTGGAGCCAGGGGCAAAATGAAAATGAAATGCACATCATTGAGAATTTCAAAACAGGGACAGCGGAGAATTGAGGCAAGCCGGGCCCTGTGTGATTTCACAGGCCACGAGTCACACACCCAGAGAGCCAGCTGTTTTTAACCTTGGTCAAGAAGCTGAAGGGGTCTTTTAAGTGTTTGAATTTGTATTCATTCATCTGACTCAGCACCTGTTCTGGGCTGGGCCGGGCACTGGGTGCTGTGGGTGCTGCGGGTGCCACAGGGGACAGGCCAGGCGGCCCAGGCTGAGGGTGTGATGAGCCTGAGCTAACGGTCCCTCCCTCCCCGGGCTCCCTGCACTCATTCAAAGGAACTGCAAGTGGTTGTTCTGGATTCTTCTGCATCTGTCTTTCCTGTTTTATTTAGTGTGCTGTACACAATAGTTGCCACTTTTAAAGAAAAGTCTCTTCTTCCTTCCTTATTTCTTCTTTAGTCAAGGAAAGAGGGTCAAATGGGTTGGGGTCTGAAATATGGCACCGTATTTTCACAGGAGCAACAGAAGTCAGCAAGCTAGAACTTCCTCCAGTTGGGTCCCTGGTCACTGATTGACTCAGCCTTCCCCCAACCACAGAGTCTGCCCTTTGACCCAGACTCCCTCTCTGCCTCTCTATCATCCACTCCCCCCACCTCCTCGGATCTCCTTTATCTGCACTCTTCCCTGGACTGGAGCCTTCCCCATGAATAGCAAAACAGCACACAGCTATGTTCAGGTTAACTTCCATCTGGAACAAAACTCCGCTCCACTCTGCTTCCCGCTCCTTTCTCTCCTCTCCTTCACCACCAATCGGTGTATGAGTGGCCCATTTCATTCCTTTGGTGTCATTTCCTCTCCCTGGCTCCCTCCCTCCCCTGCTCAGAGGGAGCTGCTAGATTTATTCTCAGAAGAGGCCCCTGTGGCTGTGAGGATGCCAGAGCCAGCGGTTTCTGTCCAGGTCTTTCCCAACTTGACATTTCTAGGACGTTTCGTGCTCCCCTCTGGAAACTTTCTACCTCTCTTCGGGGGGGGGGGGGGCGGGGGGGGAAGGAGGGGGGACTCAGAAGTAACGCCTCCCTGGAACCTGGCCCCCAGGGGAGGACAGTCAGGGAAGTTCTGAAAGGGAATAAGAGGCTGGAGGGCATTTTGGAGTTTTATAAAACAGGACTCAGTGACTTCAAATATCTAAGTGCTCAAGGGAAGAATCCAATAGGAAAGGAGCAGATAAAATCATCTGACGGACGGAGTCGAACTCGGAAGGAACAGGCGCGACCAGCTGTGGTAGGAGACACACTGCCTTCCCCGGCAGGAAGGTTCCTCTTCAGGTTCAGTCTGTAGCCGGGGGCAGGAGGATCGAGGCTCACGTCCATAACTCCAGCTCCAACCTTAGCACACACTTAAGAACTTTTAAATTAATTGTTACAGGGCAAAGGGAAAGTGAGCCAGGAAACGTTAATGAGTGGAAGAGAGAGGGAAAGACAGAGAAATATGGATGTGAGAGAAACACATCAATTGGTTGCGTCCTGCACACACCCCCACCAGGGCCCAGGCTGGGTAGAGCCTGTAACCCAGGTACGTGCCCTTGACCAGAATCAAACACAGGACAACGCTCTATCCACTGAGCCAAACCGGCTAGGGCAGGGAATGACATCTTATTAACCTTTGGATCCAGGGAGTAGTTGATACAGGAGGCAAGTCTGGTGTCCAGGGAAAGCCTCAGCTACTAAATGAGGAGATCTGGGTTTGAACACTGCCCTTGACTGTGACCTTCCCCGCCCAGCCTCCTGCCATTCGAACCTCCCTCCCCCCTCCCCGCCCCCCTCCTGACCCCGTTTCCACTCCCCAGGTGGGTGTGGCTCTGGCTGAGCCTGAACGGAACCGCCATGCCCCCCACTCCGTAGCAGGAGCCCAGACCGGCTGCGGTCTTGAGACTGATGCCTGCCCAGTGGACGGGGAGGGGGGACTGGGCCATTTTCAGGAATGCTGCCTGGGCTTTTGAATGACTAGTTCTGTGTCTTTGCTCCTTTTCAAGGAAAATTATGGCATGTTTGTCCCTGAAGGTTTTTAAGGAGCTTCAACCTTGGGTGACCCTGTTTTCTGTAATGTGTCATTCACCTGAGAGCGGGACGGGAGTTAGCAGACCTCCTGCGGCCCTCTCCAAGGCCCCAACTGCAGGAAGCTGGGCGCATGCTGTGCAACCTTTCCGGGGAGCAGGGGAGGGGGTGGGGGTGCAGATTGGCTTGGGCCTGGGGAGGGGGTGGGGAAGGTTTCAGGGCCTCTGGCCCACAGAGGAGCTGAGCAGCAGCTCAGGAACATTCGGCCACGAGTTTGCCTTCATGCATGAAGGTGTGTGACTTGCCTCGATGAGAACATGCCTTTGTTTTGCCCTGACTCTGGAGAAACAGAGGGGAGGCTAAGTAAGTACTGGTCTCTGCCGTCGGAGGTCTCCTCAGGTTAAACAGCTTATAAGACTTACTCTAGGCATCTGGCATGGGCAGCCATGAGACGCCAACAAGCAAATCCACCAAGCAAGGCCCCCATGGCAACGGAATGCGGGCCCAGTGTGAGAGCAGAGTCTGCACCCCGTGGGCCTCATGGGCACCCGGCAGCTGGCAGCAGCCCACAGAGCGTCATTGGGAGCTAGGACTGAGCGTAGCCGCCAGAAGAGAGGGGTCAGCCGGGGTCAGAGTGGTCAGGAGTCAAGACTGGTGTAGACTATTCCAGGAAAGGGGATCTGAACCCTCCCTGGCGAAGGTGGTAGAGAAAGCGTTAGTCCAGGCATCCAAAGACCTGAATGTCAGCCCCAGCAATGCCACCGAATCACTGACTGGCCCTGGGCAAGCTACCCTCCCTGCCGTGGCAAGCTCCGTGAAGCCAGCGCGGGCACCTGTGTTGCTCAGCATTGCAAGTCTGACCCACGGTAACATGGGCGCTCCTGTTGAATGAACGAATGAATGAGTGACTGCGCGGGGGGTGGGGGGGGGTGGGGGGGGGGGACAAGCTTAGGATCCAGTCCGACAGGCTTCTCTTCACTCAGGCTCTGCCCCTAACTAGCTGTATCAGGGGGCAAGCCAGGGAAGTGGAAGCAGGGGGAACACCGGAGGCCCAGCTTCCTGCCCTGTGAAAGGAGGATCTTACCATCTCCCTCAGAGATGGGTGGGAGGATTCCCAGGAGGACGAACATGTGTGACTGTCCCGGGGGACAGTGGGTGGAGCCTGCTGCCAGGGGATGCGGGTGAGCTCTGTGGCGCTGACGCCCCTGCCCCCGTGATGCCTAAAGGCCGGAAGCCACACCCCACGAGAGCTCGTGGGAGGCTGGGAAGTGGGGGCGGTCCGCTCCTGCCACCTGTTGACATGAGGCTCTGGCGACGGGCTCTCCAGTTCTCAGGGACATGGGTATCGCTCAGAGGCAGGGCCCTGACTCCACCTGCAGAGGTGGGCTCCCGGGCTAAGCTGGTCCTCGGGAACAGACTGCACTGAGGGAAGCTCTAGACTATGACTCCGCCAAACTCAGAGCAGACGCCCTGTGCCCTCACCTCCAGCCTCTGCCCACAGCATTCTGCCGGGAGCTCAGCAGCAGTTCCAACTGGGTGTGGCTCCTGGAGGACAGGACCTGGCACAGCCCCTGGCATGGAGGCAGGAAAACCTCCCTCTTAGCTTCTGCCCCTGACCCTCCGTCCCGCTGTGTTCCCAGAGGCTTGGCTGGTTATTTCCCCAGCAGCTCAGATCAGAAGCCTTGGGCCATCCTGGCTTCTCTCTCTCTCCTGCCACATCCAATGTCAGCGGCTGCTGCTGGCTCCGCCTCCAGAGTTCAGAGCCCACCTCTTCTCGCCACTTCTCTGGCCCCTTGTGCTGTGGCCTCCTCTGAATCACCAGGTCCTGCTTGCACTCGTCCACCACACAGCAGCAGGGCGGACTGTTTGTCTGGGTTTTCCCTTTCTCTTTTCTAGGATGAACTTTTAAAACACGTCAGACCCCACCTCCCTGCTGCACAAAGCCGCCGCGACTTCCCGTGTCACTTAGAAGAGAACCCAAGGTCCTTGCTGTGACCATCGGCCTTAGGGCCCTGCCCCCAACGTCGCTTCTCACTCTGCCAACGCTGGAGTCTTTGTTTTCTGGTTGTTTGTTTGTTTACTGTTCTTTCAAAACATCAAGCTCACTCCTGCCTCCAAGACTTTGAACTTGTCCGAGAACTGTGTGGTTTGCTCCCTCACCTAGGGCCTCTAAAGTAGCTAGTCACCCTCCCTCATACCACCCTGGACATTGAAAATGAGCGTCTGCCCTGGCCTGTTTGGCTCAGTAAATAGAGCATCGGCCCACAGGCTAAAGGGTCCTGGGTTCTATTTCAGTCAAGGGCACATACCTCAGTTGCAGCTCTGATCAGGGGGCAACCCATCAATGTGTTTCTCTCACATCCATGTTTCTCTCTGTCTTTCCCCCTCCCTTCCACTCTCACTAAAAATAAATAGATAAATAAATAGTGAAGGTCTTCCTTTTCTTGACCAAAGACGTAGGTCGTCTCTAAGGAATGACAGTGGGTCAGAACGGGGGGGACACAGTGAGAATGACACTGCTCCTCAGCTTGCTTTGAGCCAAGCCAAGCGTCTCTCCCTCCCGCCCTGTCCTTAGCCGGCTGCACGCAAGGCTGAGCTTAACAGGCGATAAAGCCTTACAGATGGAAAGGTAAGCAGGTCAACCTCAGCACCTGAGGGCTGACCGCAGTCACTCATGGGATTCTCTGCATGGTGTGTGTGTGTGTGTGTGTGTGTGTCTGTGTGTGTGTGTATGTGTGAGACAGCTCTGTCTTGTGTAATCCTGACAGAGTTATCTTTGCTTCCCTAGGACTTCTTGGGCCTACGTTATATGCTGAAGTTGGAGACATCATGAAAGTTCACTTTAAAAATAAGGCGGACAAGCCCTTAAGCATCCATCCTCAGGGGATTAAGTACAGTAAAGCCGCAGAAGGTAAGAGGAGCTTCCTGTCCCTCTCACAGGAGAAGATGTGCAATTCTTTAACACCAGTTCGAGCACTGAACACCATTCCATTAGCCACATGCCGCAGAACCCCTGCAGCTGCTGACTAGAACAGTGATCGCCCTGTCAGGGGGAACGAAAGAGTTCTGGCACCATCTAGACCTCGGGGCTTTGAAGGTTCTAGTTCTTTACTCGTTGGGTGGGCTAATTCCCTGCTCTTTCTTAGTCCCAGTGTGCTCACCTGCGCAGTGAGAGTGCTCACAGACTCACATGCACATTGCAAGACGGTATAAGGCGGGTCCTCAGACTTCTCTGTAGAGATCAGAAAGCACGTATAATTGGCTTTGCGGGCCAGGCAATCTCTCCCTTTCAGCACAAAAGCAGCCAAAGGACCTATCTGTATGTAAGTGCATGAACACGGCCGCCGTGCCTCAATAAAACTTTATTTACAAAGAAAGGGGAGGTGGCTGGATTTGGCCCATGAGCCATCATTTGAAATAGTGTCATAGACTAGCCTGGCACACAGATGGCACTTTAGTAGTGTTAAAATTTTGGACACAGTGAAGTGATTGAGACCATCAGCTTTGAAGGCAGACGTAGGTTCAAATTCCACTGTATGCTTCTGGCTAAATGATCTTAGCACCCCTGAGCCTCAGTTTCTCATCTGTGAAGTAGGAATGCTTACACCCTCTCCTAAGATTGCTTTGAGGATTAGATGGGATTGTTTAGGTATAGTACGAAATAAACATGGTTCCGGGAACTGGTACACCCTCAGTAAAGGATGTCAGTGATGATGATGATGACAGGGTCAGAGAAGATCATGAGGATGATGGAGATAAAAGTGACATCAGCCACAGGATAGGAAGCGCCTGTTGTTGCTATTGCTCTGATTATTTCCATTATACTTATGTTCAGTCCCCAATAAGCAGAATAGAGTTCTGCTAGGAATGATATAAGAAAATTGTGTCCATATTGTAATAGATGTTAGCATAATAACACAAATATAACTTTAGACCTCTCTCTTTTCACAAGTCTTATTTCTCCCATAAGTTCTGACCATCATACGTTTAAAGAGAGGAATTGAGCAGGAGAGTGGGGCAGGGTCTGGAGCTAGCCTGCCTGGTATAAATCCGGGCTCAGACACTAACTAAGTGACTTTGGGAAAGTTACTTAACCTCTTTGTGCCTCATCTTTCTCACCTGTAAAATGGGAATAATAATCAAGACTTATTTTCTGTTGTCAATCCTCACTCAGGGATATTTTCCCATTGCTTCTTCAGAGAGAGTGAAAGGGAGGGAAGGAGAAAGAGAGAGAGAGATACACATCCATCGGTTGCCTCTTGTACATGCCCTGACTGGGGGTGGGAGGGAACCCGAAACCCAGGTACATGCCCTTGACCGGGAATCGAACCCACAACCCTTTGGTGCTCAGGCTGACACTCTAACCACTGAGCACACTGGCAGGACATGACTTCTTCAAATAGGTTTGTTGTCATGAAATCTTAGCACAACACCTAGCATATAATAAACACTTGATAAATATTAACTATGATGGTAAAGGTAATTATTCAATCAAAATTTGTTCAAATGATGTCAATATCTCAATTAAAAAATTTTTAAATGTGTCCAAATAATTTAATATTTAGATGACAATGTATGGATTAGAAAGTGACTTTTACATTTACTATTTCAGTGTAAATTATTGTCAAACACATTCCTGCTAAGGGATAGGTGACCGCTAACAGGTCAATGGACTACCCTCTCTGGGGGTATGTGCCTGAGCACACTCTGGTTTGAGGAAAAACAGTGAAGCATTAACTGTGAGATTTCAGGCACCTGAAAGGGCCAATTTGGCAGGACTCTGGGTGAGGCAGCCTGAGTAGGGGTCTCTCCTGTGGCCCCCAAATCACGTGATGTCATAGAACAACCACTTAACCTACTTAGGGGGCTTCCAGATGACACAGTGAAGACATCATGAAAGTTCACTTTAAATGTCAGGAATTCAGCACCCTGGTGCCAGGAGGGAGAGCCCTAAAAATGTCCCATGAAGGTCCCGTTTTAGATGTGGGAGGAGGTAAGTGCTGTGAACTTTGTATCCCAAAATGGGCTGTTTGCATGGGAAACAAACCTTGCAACACCATCCTCTTCCTGTCTGTTGATTTGTCCCTCCCATCCCCACAGCCAGCAGGCATTGTGAGCGGAGGTTTAAAATGTGCCCACCACGTCCACTGGTCACCTGACCATTGCCCAGGCGCCATGTCTCTCCGGGAGTAAAGACTTTCCAAGAAAGTCACATCTTGCCTTGGAAATGAGATGCAAATCTAGCCAAGAGAGAGAGTGTCCTTCCTGGCCAAAGGCAAGCCTACCTGCTATTGTGTCCTCTCCCCTAAAATAAAGCATCTTCCCCACGTCTTACCCTCAGCCCCCAAGTCTCCCGCCATGGTTTGAGCGATTATTTCTGGGGTGGAGATGAACTACGTGCTGAGCCAGCACCATGAGAATCCGGTTTCTTTATCTCAGAGGTGATGTTTGAGAGATGGGTGGTGGGAGGTTGAGACTAGTACAAGGTTGAAGAGAGGACTTGGTCTTTGTCCTCATGGCTGCTTGATCTAACCAGAACCAAAGCAACTTTATCAGAACAATCCTCCTTATCTAGGAGCTAATCCTTGAGCCCCCCCTGGGATTTGGAAACCTCCTCTCCTCGCTGGAAGGGAAGGACAGCCATGGGAAGAATGCCGCTGTAGAGCCAGGATGGCCTCGCTTGGAACCCTAAGCAAACGCTGGCAACTTCCTTTACCACAAACCCTGTTTCACATCTAGCAAATGGGAATCACAACTCCTTCCCTCTAAGGTTGTCACAAGGATCAGTCAGAATCAAAGCAAAGTTCCAGGCACGGTGGGCACGCAATAAAGCTAGCTGCTGTCACGGGGGCTAGTCCCTGGCTATTCACATGCAGCATTGCATTTTGTTCCCAGAAGCCTTGGCCCAGATAGTGTCATCTATCTGAATGAATAAAACACTCCCCTTGAATTCAGATGCCAAAAGGAACTAAACTTCCCCAGGAAACCTCAGCGATCCAGAGCACGTTTTGAATAATTGCAGTTTCCAGGTAGTTTGAGGTTTACTTCAAGTGTCTAATATATTTCCTTTTCATTACTTTGGGTCTGAGATTTTCTAAGTGGTACACTTCCCCAGGCCTTTGCAAAACAGAGGATGGCGGTCTGTTTGAGGCTTCTGTGTCTCTGGATCTATATATATTTTTAAATATATTTTAATGATTTTGTACAGAGAGGAAGTGAGAGAGATAGAGAGTTAGAAACATCGATGAGAGGGAGTCATCGATCAGCTGCCTCTTGCACACCCCCTACTGGGGATATGCCCTTGACCGGAATTGAACCCGGGCCCCTTCAGTCCCCAAGCCAATGCTCTATTCATTGAGCCAAACCAGTCTCGGCTCTGGATCTATTTTTGTTCATCAGTTTATGTTATTCATTAGATCCCACATATGAGTGAGATCATGTGATACTTATCTTTCTCTGACTGGCCTATTTCACTCAGCATAATGCTCTCCTGGGCTGAGGGGTGAGAGCAGGCGGGGAGAGGACAATGGGGGAAAAGGGGACATGTGTAATACTTTCAACAATCTCTCTATAGAAACCTAATAGGCAAATTGTCCCTGTGGGAGTTCAACCAAAAGACCAATCACTTGTTATGATGTGCACTGACCACCAGGGGGTGGCGCAGAACGAAGAAGGGCTCAGCAGCGGGAGAAGGGAGGCCCTGGTCGGCAGCCAGAGGAAGGCCCTGGCCAGCTGCCAGAAGGCCCCAATCGGCCCTGATTGCCAGCCAGGCCAAGAGACCCTGACCATGCATGAATTTCGTGCACCAGGCCTCTAGTAAAGAATAAAAAATAAATAAAGTAATAAAACAGAGGATGAGAAGCAAAATTGGAGTCCCTCTCTAAACCATTCCTTCCAGTCCACTGTGAGATCTCACAGACATTCACAGATGTTAGAACTGTGCGCAGTCTGTGGTCTGAGTCAACAGACTCTCAACAACAGCTGTGTTATCTGTCTGTGGATGACCTGCAGGTGAAGGCCCTGAGCTTTCACACATGGGTTTTGTACATCGTTTTGTAACCAGAGTTGCCCGGGAGCCTGTTTCCAGACATTCTTTCCATGGCTGTCATTTGAATTCTTGGCTGGAAGTCTGGGTGCTGGACAAGAAAGGTGTGCACGTCTCACCCTGGCCTGCCATCATGAATTGGTAGCATCTGACATAAAAGCTAAGTTGTAGCTTGATGTTGCCGGACTGGTCCCAGTGGCACCCCCTCCCCAGCTGTGTCTGAGAGCACCCCAATAGCATGTGGGGCAGGGATGAGAAACCCCTGGGAGAACAGGATGGACTAGTCATGATTTATAAAATGCTTACAAGATCATTTCCTTTAGAGATGTACTTAACAGGAGTGAGTTTTAAACCGCAAACACAACTGTACCTATGTATTTTAAAACTTTCTGTCACTAAAAGCGTTTTTTCTCTTTAAAAAAAATATTTTTTATTGATTTCGGAGAGGAAGGATGAAGGTGAGAGAGATGATGGAAACATGGAAACATCAATGATGAGAGAGAATCATTGATGGGCTGCCTCCTGCACACCCCCTACTAATTTTTTTAATAAAAAATTAAAAAATAAAATTTCCACCAGGAATTGTTTTGTTTTGTTTTTGCATTTAAGTGTTGCCAGATTCTCTATATAAAAACAGAAAATGTTCCAATGTTTGGCATAATATAAGCAATACAATTTTTCACTTTATATCTGAATATTTTAGCCTAAGCTAGAAACTTCTCTGGGTATGTAAGTACCTGAAACAAACTGTAATGGCTAATAGATTGGTTCTCATCAATCTCAAACTTGCAAACTCCTCTTCAGTGGAGAGCTGCACGCACTGTGCACTGGGCCAGGCTCGTTAGAAGCATGGGCATCCAGTTTTC